CTCGCATCCCCAGCCTCCGCCGCAGCCTCTTGAACCCTGAAATCGTCCTCCGCCGCGGCCCGGGACGGGGAGGCGGCCGCTGGGCGTGCAGGCGTTCGTTTCCCAGGGGTGGAAAGCTCTCCCGACCCGGAGGTGGGACGCGGTCGGGGTCCTGTCAGCCACGGGGGCTTCTCGTCGGCCTGGGGATGCTGCTTCTGGTTTTAGTTTGTGAGTCCTGACCTCATGTGGGTGCTGACGTCTTTGTAAGATGTCAGCGAGGATGTGTTGACGTTTCTTTGAACCCAGGCTTTTGTTTGAGTTCCTCGATAACTCTTTAAAATAGAGAAAGGCTGCTTTGTTCCCTCCCTCAGTTTGATTTCCACATTTCTCTGAATTTCACCCACTTTTAGGACACCTCGGAAAGCTCAGGGTTCCTTTGGGCTTCTTTGGGGAACGGGAAGCAGAGAGCTCGTCTGTCGCTTGCCTCAGCGTGGTTCTGAAAGCGGGCTGCAAACGGCAGCTTTGTGAGCTTTGCCTCTCTGTAACCCCTCAGCCTCCCAACACGCACATTTGTGCTCGTTCTCCTGACTGAAAGCCACAGCAAAACCTTCCTCCTTGTGTTCTATTAAAAAAAACTCTTGTTGGTGTTTGTAGTTACCATGTGTTGTGCTCTTTCTGGCTGGTCCTTCCGCCAAAGCACCTTTCAGTCTTGCCCATATGAGGAAACGACCCTCAGAGAACAAATCTGGCATTTTCAGAAAAAGGTGGCCAGGTGTAATAACCCCAACTTTGGGATTTAGCAGCTCTTTTCCAGTTACTGCAAGTGTTCCTCCCAGCTTTTCTGTGCATCTTGCGGAGAGTGGAACAAAGATCTCAAGGCACGTATCCAAAATGACCGGATCTGCGAGCCTCTGGGCTGAGCACGCTGCCTTCAGCAAGACGTCGAGGTGCTCACTGGAAATTTAAGCGCTCTTCAGAGGCTCAGCGGGCCACGTGGCTTCCTTCACAAGTCTACGGGCTTTACGAGGAGACTTCACAGCGTCACTGCGTCCTGGCTCTCCTGTGAGACAGCGTAAAATGAGAACAGGGGAGGCTGCACATGGACCTGGTCTTGTGTTGAGAAACAACATTTCTTCATATGTTAAACCTACAGAAGGATGTGCTGTTAGGCATTGGATTCTGGCTGGAAAACTGGCCAGCCGCGCTCTCTAGCTGTTCTCTCCAGAAAGCCTGTTCCTCTATAGGACTGGGAGGGAGGAGCTGTTTACAGCAGGGTTCCAACTAATGCAGTGATTTTATGCTATTCTAGTAAAAAAATAGGTGCTTCCTCAAAATAAAGAACAACTCTGTTTGGGGAAACCTGAGAAATCCAGCCCCCCCCGTGGATCTCTCAACTTTGCGTTAGCATTTCCACTTTTCAGTGGCTTAAATACTGGAATAGATGGGGGGGTGGAGGTTCATTCTGCTGAACGGTCATTAATGCCGCTCTTGGTTCTGTTTAAGTATAATACTGTCAAAGACCATGTGCCCTTGTAGGAGATGTTAAGTATTCCAAAGCGATAACCGTTAAACAGATTTA